GATATTATATATATATATATATATATATATATATATATATATATATCATTATAGTTATTAGCACATTTATCATTATTACATTTATTGTTAGTTATCTTTAGTTATCACTGATTACATTTATCGATATCGTTATTGCTATCATTATCATTATATTTATTGTTATAGTTATCTTTAGTTATTAATTATTAGTACAGTTACTATTATCTTTATCATTTATCATTATTAGTACAGTTACCATTATATTTTTGTTATTGTTAGCATTACAGTTTTGTTATTGTTAACGTTATTATTATATTTAGAATTATTGTTATATTTATCATAATAGTCATCTTTATATATATTGTTATAGTTGTTACTATTACACTTACCATTATACATATTTTTATAGTTACCACTACAGTTATCATAACATTTGTCTTTATTAATGTTGTTAGAGTTATTATATTTATTGTTAGTTATTGTTATATATTAGTTATTGTTCTTGGTATGAACAGGACTTTAGACAGTGAACAAACTGAAACATTCACACTGAGTTTGTTATATTAGTTGATATCACAGTCATGTTGACTGCTGTTATGTCACGTGACACTTTTACTGTATGAAGAACGTTGTGCAAAACAGTGTTGTTGCATAACATAATGTTTTATGTGTGGCTGAGAGAAACACAGAAGCAGCGAACGAACCGATTTGAGGGTCATACTGGGGAAGAAGCCGTTGACCACCACATGATCGTAGTCGGACAGCATGGATGTGCGGAACTTCTCCAGCAAGAGCTTCTTGGAGCCCAAACCGTAGATCAAGATGTTAAAGCCCATGCTGAAATATTCATGAACAGAGAAACACAAGATGAATATGTGCATCTTCATCATCCTCACACACACACACACACACTCAACTGCAGCTGCAGCATCCACTGGTTGAAGTTCTTCTCGTGTTTTGCATTGAGCTGTTTAATTTCCTCTGCGAAGCACGGCGGGTTTTTACCCAAGAGGCTGAGCAGAGTTTCCTATAAAACACAATCAAACACCTCCGTTAGATCTCAAACAGATCCCACAATCACAGACAGATGAAGATCACTGACCCGGTCCAGTTTGGGCGTCTGGAGTTTCTGGAGGGTCCGATCGGACGTGAGAACCTTAGAGCTGCTGTGAGCTTCAAAATACTCCTCCACCAGATCAGACTGCAGGAGAACAAACAAACAACAAGAGAAACTTTCAGAGCTAGACTTGATATTTCTGAAGTTAAAAACAATGGAAATGCACAACTTGCTGCAGTGATCCTATGCTGAAAAAAATTTGTTGAAAAAAAAAAAAAGTTGTCGCTAGTCATTTTTAAAAATAATTACAAAGAAATTGCAAGCAACACTGAATGAAATATGAAATTATGAAGTTGGAAACTTCAATCATTTTGGTTTTATTTACAACTTCAAAAAAAAATTTTTTTACATTGTAGGTTGTTTTACCTGTATGTTTATCATTATTGTTGCCTTTATCAGTTATTGTTAAATTTGTTATTATAGCTACGTTTATCATAGTTATCGTTAAATTTGTCATTATGGCTACATTTATCATAGTTATCGTTAAAATTGTCATTATAGTTACGTTTATCATAGTTATCGTAAAATTTGTCATTATGGCTACGTTTATCATAGTTATCGTTAAATTTGTCATTATGGCTACGTTTATCATAGTTATCGTTAAATTTGTCATTATAGCTACTTTATCATATTTAATGTTACATTTTTCATTTTAGTTACATTTTTTCAGTTATCGTTAAAATTGTCATTATAGTTACGTTTGTCATAGTTAACACTAAATATGTCATTATAGTTACGTTTATCATAGTTATCGTTAAAATTGTCATTATAGTTATGTTTATCATAGTTATCGTTAAATTTGTCAGTTGTTTATTATAGTTTTCGTTAAATTTGTCATTACAGCTACATTTATCATAGTTATCGTAAAAATTGTCATTATAGTTGTTTATCAGTTATCGTTAAATTTGTCATTATAGCTACGATTGTCAGTTAACGTTAAATTTGTCATTATAGTTATGTTTATGATAGTTATCATTAAAATTGTTATTATAGTTACGTTTATCATAGTTATTGTTAAAATTGTCATTATAGCTACGTTTATCAATTATCGTTAAATTTGTCATTATAGTTACATTTCTTATAGTTATCGTTAAAATTGTGATTATAGTTATGTTTATCATAGTTATAGTTAAATTTGTCGTATTTACGTTTATGATAGTTATCGTTAAATTTGTAATTATAGCTACATTTATTATAGTTATCGTTAAAATTGTCATTATAGTTACGTTTATCATTATCGTTAAATTTGTCATTATAGTTATGTTTATGATAGTTATCTTTAAATTTGTCATTATATTTACATTTGTCATAGTTAATGTTAAATTTGTCATTATAGCTATATTTATCATAGTTATCGTTAAAACTGTCATTATAGTTACGTTTATCATAGTTAAAGTTAAATTTGTCATTATAGTTACGTTTATGATAGTTACCGTTAAATTAGTCATTATAGCTACATTTATCATAGTTATCGTTAAAATTGTCATAGTTACGTTTATCATAGTCATCATTAAATTTGTAATTATGGCTACGTTTATCAGTAATCGTTAAATTTGTCATTATAGCTACGTTTATAATAGTTATTAGTGTTGTCAAAAGACCCGGTATTTCGGTACCAAGTCGGTACTAAAAAAATGAAAACGTTACGGTACCAGGTTTTCTTAAGTACCGGTGGTACCGAGTACCCGGTCAACCCGGTTCTTGATGCGCTATCCGAAAGCTATCCTTTTACAGCTGCAGACTGAGGAAGATCCTGAAAACACCAGCAAACCCTAAAACAGACAACAGTTTACAGATGTTTTTCAGCGGCAGCAGAACTATGACTAAACTTTTGGGTGAAACTTGTTTACTTTTTTCATACTTTTATTACTTGTGGAAAAACTTGAAACAATTTTAAATAAGTATAAAGAATGGCATTGGTTTTGTACATTTAATTTTTGTTTAACGTTATTAATAAAAATGTTGTTCAATTAGCATGTTTTTGTGTTTTGCTTTGGTACCGAAATTGGTACCGAGAACCGTGGATTTTCACTGGTATCGGTACCGAATACTGAAATTTTGGTACCGTGACAACACTAATAGTTATCGTTAAAATTGTCATTATAGTTATTGTTATTATTATAGTTATCATTTTATAAGTTTCATTTATCATTATTTTTACCATTACAGCTTTAGTTATAATTACATTTATCATAATATTTATTGTAATCATTATAGTTACATTTATTATAATAGTTATTAGTTATCGTTATTATATTACTTACTTACTAACTTACAGGTTGCTAAGGTGTTTTAAGCGTAACAAACACTAATTCACAATTAGTTAGTCACAAACTCATCTGGACCCTCATCCAGACGGTCTGAAGGTCAAAGGTCAGGATGAGACGCTCACCTCTGCCGCTTTCTTGCCCTTCTTACTGGGCGTCTTATAGAGCGCAGCAGCGGACGTGTTTTTACTGGGTGTTTTGGTCTGTATGTCCCTCTTCCCCTCGTGTTCTTCAGCATCATCATCATCCTCAGAGTTTGAGGGGGAGAAATCGCTCTCGTTGTCTGAACGCAGGTTTGGAGCTGCATGACAATTACAACAACACATTAATATTCTGTTTAATATCCTCTTTCACTATTGAAAAATGCCACAGATAGATAGAAGTTACAGAAGTAAAACGTACTCATGAATGTCATTTAAGGTGGAGTTTAAACGGTTGTTTTAACCAATTATATACCGCTACTAATGCCCTGCATATTAGAAACATTACTATTTCTTAGAAAAATGTAATAGGTAGAGAAAATATGATTGTAAATAAATGGGCAAACTCCGGGATTTTCTTTTGTTAAGATAAATAAAATTTTAATAAATATAATAATCGTTTTGTCATTAATATTAATAATTTATTATAATGTTATAATTATACAAATAATGATTTGTTAATTAGACTTTTATTCGCAAGCCTAAATGCATAATGTTTAGTTAATTTATGTGCATTTATATTATTAACTTTATTTGCCTATTACTTAGTTATTCTTTTTTTTTTTACATTTTGTTAGTATTTATTTATTTTTAGAAGACCCGTTTAATTTTGTTTGCTTTTTTATGTTGTCATAGATCTAATATTTTTACATTAATATTAATACATTATTAATAACTTCTTATAATTCTACAAATATAGATTTGTTAATTATAATTCTTTTATGCAAGCCTAAAAGTATGTATAGGTAATTTATGTGCATTTTTTATTAATTTTTTTAATTAAAGTGAACTTTATTTGCCTATTCAGCTATTATTCTTTTAAATATTGTAAATATTTATTTATTTTTGGAAGAAGATAAATTAAATACGGTTTACTTTTTATACTGTATTTAATTACAAGTATTTAGAAGACATTTATTTGTAAATGCATAATGTTTATGCAATTTATATGCATTTATTATGGAATTTAAAAAGAATTTATTTGCCTATTTAATAATTATTCAGTTCATTTCTGTTAGTGTTTATTTATTTATTTTTGGAAGAAAGAGATATTGCATGGTAAATAGTGCATTAAAATAATATTTTGCACTTTATTGATGTGTTACTGTCATTATGTTGTCTATCTTCCCAATGTTAAATATTAAAAACCAACAAACCTGACAGTCTCTTGCGCAGTCGGTGTGGTGTCGTGGAGATGAACTGCACCTTCTTTCCCTGAGCAGATGATAGATATATACACACACACATATGTGAGTAAAACACAACCGCATAATGTTTTGACACAGAGAGCCGTCGGCTCACCTTCTGAGGGGTTTTGTTCTGATTGGCTGATTCTGCAGTGGACAAACAGAGAAAACGAGAGTCAGTCAGGCTTTAAACTGAGAAAGAGAGAAGAAAACAAACTGCAGGATCAAAACAGACTTTTAGCGGTGCGTGTCGGGCTGGACGAGTCCTCGTTTGTGTCTGATGTGCAGAAGGTCACTCTCTTTCCAGGCGTTCGAGCCCATTCAGAGGCTACACAAACACACCACACACTAACATCATCACGCTCGACATCTAGAACACACTCAGAAATATGTACTTTTAGCGTGTATGCAAATTGAAATGCAGCCTATGAAACAATTCAGTGCTTATTCACCCATCTGAGCCATTTTATTGCCCCGTTTGATGGTCTGAAACGAGAAGACAGATGATGCTGTGGTGACCGTGGCTTTTTCACTCTCATCTGGGACATAAACAACCAATGAGAAGCTAGAGTAACAACACAACCGAAATCATCATGATTCACGCTGCCTGATCCTTGTATTGTGAAAACGGTGCATTATCTGTCTGTTATTGGTCACCTTGTGATCCGGTGCACAGAGCGTCCACATAGTTCTGCTCATTTATCACCTCTTCATCATCATCATCCTCTTCCGTCTCAGATCTTTTGGATTTCTGCGGGGTTTTTAGGGTCACCAGCGTCTGTACGGATCCATTAGCTGCTTTTATATCTAGAGTCATAACACAAAACATCAGATTTTCATCAGTAATCAGTTTCTATCCATAAAGACACTGAAAAACATTGGTAACACTATACTCACACACACACTCACACAC